AAGACTCCTCGACGTCGCAACCAGACGACACGGCCACCGAGAGCAGCCAGACAGGCGATGACGCTGTCGTCATCACCACGACGAATCTGGCAGCCTTGAACGAGGTAAAGAACATGACGAAGATACTTCTCGAGAGGTCAGCATATCATAAGACAAGCTGAAGGCTCTTACAACGGCAAGTAAGGCTCGCAAGAAAACCATCAGGACTGGCAGACCACGGCGGTCACTCGAGCGGTTCAGGCCGCACAAAATGAGTTTACACCATTTTGGTGTTGGAAATAGTGTTGGGTTGGAGAGGCTTTTACACCAAATCTATTTTTTTATTTATACACGTAAAGGAGAGATCCTATTTTGATGTTTTCTATTTCATGGAACTGTGTTTATTTCCACCAATTTGCCATCGTGTTATGTCTCTCTATTTAGCATACACATGGAATACGACCATGAAGGCGACAGAAATTTTGGATTGGTTTGAAGCACACCCATCTCTATGGTCCGCTCTCGATCATCTTTACTTTCAGCTCTTTTTCCATCTTCTATATCATTTATGGCACAGCAAAAGTCACATTCGATGTTGTTGGAAACCTTAAAGAAACGAAAAACAAATTATATTCCCATAATATAAGCTTTTTCTATGCTTTTTCCATACCACAATATTTTTAGTGTATGGTTTGTGATTTGCATGTTGCGTTTTGATTTTATGGATTATATTTCAAAACCCGATATTACCGATGAATACTGTTGAATGAGGAATCACACTCGAAGGTAAAATTTGAACATCATCGCGATAAATCAAATTCTTCAAATTTTTGAAAAACAAAAGAGAAATAATTAACTCACATAGAAGGAGAATAGGAATTAGATTTATTAATCTTGAACATCCTCAAGAATTTAGTTTCACTATGTGTTTTAATTTTGGGTCATTTAGGCTAATATACTCTCTTTTTTTTTGGTTGAATTTAGGCTAATATACTCTTATAACTCAAAATGTTAAGTGGTATGCCGTTTGATGATTATTTAGGCTGTATAGCTAAGAGAAAATAATTTTGGACGAATTTTCCCTTCTAACACACCATAAAGCAAACTGTTCAATCTGCCACAAAACAGATATAACATGACGTTTTTTTTTATATTTTTAATCAATTTTTTTCATCAATTTTTTTCCCTTTTTATATCCACACCTATAATGTTTATTATTAGAACCGAATCATTTCAAAATCTATATATAAAAAAAGAAGATTTTTTTCTTTACATGTTACAATTTGAAATTTAAAAAATAGACATAAATTACTCAAATTATTTATATAATGTTAAATTAAAACGAATATACCATATAGCGTGTTATTTTACTATATAATATGGTATAACATACTAATATATAATATGATATATATCATATAACGTGTAATATTATATTCATCGTGTTATAAACAATATTCAAAACATATAACCAATTTTACTGCTATGTAGCATAACATAACATATGATATGTATAATTAGAAATTCGCAATGCCATATTAATTTATGGCATGTTATATATTATATAGCATGCTATATTTCAAATAACATGTTATATGTTACAATAATATGATGTTCATAACAGTAATATGGCATATCATGTTAATATATGATATTTTGTATGATATATAACATGCTATATTTCAAATAACATACTATAAGATATAAGAATATGGCATACCATGTTAATATATGACATTTTTTATTATATATAACATGTTATATCATATAAATACCTAGTATATAGCACACTATACTACGTTTTATTTTCACATCATATTAATATTTTGAGTAGTCGCAAACATAATAAAATGTGATCATCAATATATATATGGTATGCCATTTATATGATTACGTTTTATTATAATATTATATGAATAGTTTGTGTAATATATGTCAATTTTCTAAAATTTCAAAATATAACATATGTAGAAAAAAACTTGTTTTATATATATACTAGGTAAAGGACCAAATATATGTGGGTTTATGATATATATTTTATAACCCGTGAAATAATCAAATTCTAAAAATTTAAAAACAAAACTAATTCACACATTGAAGTAAAAAATAAGATCAAAAACATTGATACTAAACAATTTAACAGTTATTTTTTTATCTTGACTTTTTTTTATTTGAATTTCAAGTAATTTTGATCACTTTTTTTTTTAAATAAATAGTTTTTTATATTCATGTTTCAAGTAATTTTGGTTTTACTACTTCTTTACTTTATTTGTTTTTTAAATATTATTATATTAATTTCTCATTTTTTTATTTGAAATTTTCAATTTTATAAATATATTATAACCTGTGAAAAAAAAAACACGAAAAGTACAAAACCATTGATAGAGAAGTCTCTTCCATATTATGTTGTACTCATTTCTATTATATTATTTTATTTTCAATTAAATATAGGGAAATCTAACGATATATGCTCCACAAAGAGGGAAATTAAACATATAGCTTCCAAACAAATTAATTGAGCAAATGGTCTACCAAAAGATCATTATGCCCTTACTTTGCGTATGACAATGACTAAGTGTGTCAGCCAAAAAATTTTTTTCCAAACTGATGCAGTATAACTGTCCCGTTTCTCTAGGCGAAGTGAGAGAAATTAGCGGTTTCATTATTCCACTATCAATAACAACACAATACCGCTTATCATTTATCATTTTTCTTCAAAATTTCTCCCGAACAACACAAGATTGTCGTTTCATCTCTCCCGAACTCTCCCGTCACAAATTTTCTCTCCATTGAAGTTTTACTTCATCCTCTCCGTCATTCCATCCACCGGAATTCATTACAGAACTTGCAAAATCATTGTCTTCAGCGTTAAGGTTAGTAACCCTATTAGCCGCTAAGGTTTGACTTCATCCTCTCCGTCATTCCATCCACCGGAATTGATTACTGAACTTGCAAAATCATTGTCTTCAGCGGTTAAGGTTAGTAATCCTATTAGCCGCTAGGACCCTACTCCGCTCTTAACGGCGTTACAGTCTATCAATTTCTAGGGTTTTCGTTTTTTTTGCCATCGACTCCGTTTTTCTAGAATAGACGAGTTTTTGTTTCTCTAATCCATATCTATACTACGGGCTTGAAATTCTCATTTTTTATCTTTTCTCTAATCGCTAGTTCTTATCACCGGTTAGTAACCGCTTTTAATTTCGAAGCTTAATTGATTATTTGTCATGGCACGCTATGTTATACTTTTGTTATGGCTTGCATTTTGGAATTGC